CAGATCAAGGGTTGGAACGCTGATGTAATTGATTTTGATCGGCGAAACTGTGCCTCCTTCGCCTCCGGTGGTCAAAACCAGCTCGTGCTCACTATCCATTGTTGGCAAAACGCTTCCAGTCGGCAGACCGATCAGCTCAGGGGCGAGGATCCTCCTGTTAGGCACAATGTGAAAACGGAAATTCGAGAGATACAAAAAGCCGTTACCAGCGAGAAGGTTGGAATCCTCCAGAGCGAAAACCGTCATGGAATTTAGTTTTGAAAGCTCGGCGAACTTCACTCTCATCGCCAACGCGACGATTCTGTAACGGCTGTTTTCCAGTCGAACGACGGCGTCTTTCATCATAAGACGCATGATAGAGATCTTCGTTTCATGAGGTGAAGACACCGATGACGGTGGAGGGAATGAGAGAGAATTCATATGATCAATGCTACATGACATCGGCGAGAGGTGAGCTACTAAGCCTTGGATGCCGTGAACCACGATTACGCCGTTGTAGAAGAGGTCAGGGTGAGTGATCGTCGCTCCATTCACGAAAATCTTCGGCTGATCCTGAGTTTCGGAGGCGGAGGTCGTGATAGTGAGGCAGCGGTTTTCAGCTAGAGTTTGGATTTTAGTGCCAGAGGCTAACTTCCGCAGGAATTCAAGCGGATAAAGTCCAGGAACTGAGTGCTCGTGTAGGAGCTGTCGGGGAGAACACGAACGACAGGTGAGCAGCGATGAATCAGCAGGAGCAAAGATCGTAATAGGAGCGCCGGTGGAGAGATTGGCGCCGGCAGCCGCGGTAGACAGCTCCTGGAAGCCTAGAGAGTAGAGAATGCTGGCAAAAACAGGAGGCGTATAAAGATGACCGTCGTAAGAAGCCGAGTGCTCCGACGATGGAGAAATGTCGACGTCGGCGGTCGTTATAGTAGCTCCGGATATGAAGAGGGAGATAAGAATGAGTAAGACGAGGAGGATCTGCAGTTGCAGAGTACTGGTAGCCATGGCGGTTTTTGAGAGAGAAACTCGTGCAAATATGAGTTCGAGAGGTAGGGTGCTTGTAGAGAGCGAAAATGATCAGTGTATGAAATGTGAAGAGTGAGGATGGTTATACAATCACCGGGGTAATATAACAGAATTAATGGCGGGAAAATAAAACGGATTGGATTGCATGCGTCATGCGCAGTTGGGAATTCTGTTAGAGCTCTCTGCTCGATTTGACAAACTTGCCCTTACCACGCCATTTTAACCTTTATACTACTAAATAAACTAATTATTTGAACAAAAACGGTCCAGAATTTGACTCACGTAATTAATTCTTCTGTATATTACCATCAAATTGTTTGAAATAATGTCTAAATGCGAATTACTACTCACAAAGTCTATGCGGGCCTTAACTTGCATTTTTTTTTTTTTATAATTTTATATACATTACATATCCAACTTATACTAGTCTAATTCTAATTAAGTTCTTAAATATACGAATCAACTCTCTTGATTGAGACGAAAGTGACACTATCAATCCCCCATTCCTACTCATGCATGTATATTCTATGTGAAATAGTATATATCGGCGTATACTGTGTAATACAGTGATAGAATCGGTTCTGATTAGGGTATCTCTACCGAGTCTGCTTATTGGTTTAAGTTGGGAAGTTTGAAATACTAGACTGTGGGTCAGAGGTTTCTAAGCTAACAATTGCGCCAGTAGCACGTGGAGGCTATGCATAGGCACATATCGGCACCTAAGGTGGCTCGATTACATGTCAAAAGATTTTTGATTCCGTTAGGTGCGCTTCCTCATACTCAATTATGAGAACCAGGCCAATAGCCCGGTCCCGAACTGGCTAGATCGAGGCAGAAATGATTGTTACTGCTATTAAGTCCAGTCACCTAACACTGAACTCGGCGTGAGCTTAGGTTGGGCGGGTTGGGCTCCCCTCAATGAGTGGGTCCGGATATCCATCAATATGCACATTGAATCTTCATTTTATTTAACTCCAAATTCTCAGTAGAATTCAAATTTCACATTATGATTGAAACACAATTTTAATGTAATTAGTCGAATCAACTGAACTACTAACCTTGCGGGATTGCGTGGTGGCACATATTGCAAAGCGGATGAGTCGCTCTGGTTTTGTTCCTCACCCACTCTGTGCAATACTTGTATTATAGTCGCTGCACAATCGAGGTTTGATTCAAATTCTTTATGCAAATTGGTAGTTAGAAACTTCATTATATTGTTGTGTCTTATCTTTTGTTTTTTTCTGATCTTGAAGTCTGGGTAGTGACCATTGATCTAGGCACAAGATTCTGACTGTCTTTTCTGCGTTTATTTATTTTATTTACCCAGTGTCTTGGTTTCCTTTGACTTTCCAGTGATTTCTTGTTTGTAAAATGGTGCTGCAGAAATCTAAGTAGCCTTCCTTTCTTCTAGTCTTCTACTTGCCTTTTCGAAATGCTTTGAAACATGCATAATCCCTGTTAAATGTGCCACCTCCTAATTCATTATTAAGGGATCGGATCCTATGTTTTTCTTAATTGGTCAGCTAGCATGTCTGTCAATTTATTTCAATTGCACTTCACAATAACCGAGACTAATTGATTTCATAATCAATGTCACTTAAAATCAGACTTTAAATACATTTTTACAATATATTTAATGTCAATTTTTTAAATCGTTGTAAAGGTGTCTATCGATACTAAATGAACCGACTCTTGACACCATTATATTTTTTAGTAATCCAATATTGATTACCTTACTCTTGAATTGTTTAGGTAAATACACAATGCTTTTTAATTTATGAAAAAAGCTTATAACAATTAAAAATTGTTTATAGATTCTAATACGTTTTTTGTGTGAAGCCTAACGGGTAAAAGATTAAAAGAAGGTAAATCAACTTAAATTGTTCATAGTTAATCAGCTCAAACTATGATGTATTTAGCTGGAGGAGAAGAGAAATGGCATTCGAGAAAGCTATAAAACTTGCACAAGAATCTAAGACAAAATATCACTTTTATGGCATTTCACTTGACCCAAACTCGGTGGAAAACTCAAATGAATGGTTCGGTCACACGTGCTGAATGTCTTCCTCTAAACCAAAAGGTACCAACTTTTTCTTTCCCACAATGCATGTTTACTTTGAGCATGAATGCTGTCTTTTCTCTTTCAAATGGTGTGTGATAGGAAGCAAAGTGCATAACTGCACATAATCCCATAAAAAAGTTTGAAGTATAAAGCTCTTCTAGGCAAACTTACTGGGAGTGAGCTGTGACTCACAAACTGCTATATATCCTTTTCTGTGTGTGTATGTTAATAATACTTAGCAAATTGGAAGATTATATTTGTGAAGTAGAATGGAGATGATTTTCTACTAAACCAAACCAGTCATCATTCTTTTTGGCTTTAGCTTTTCTGCCCTTTTGAGGTGACCCTTATTCTTCCCTTGTTAGTGCAGCCCCTTTCTCAAAGCTAAAAGTCCCATCACCACTTTAATCCCTTTCAGTCTTTCACCCAAATGGCTCCTGTTATACACCTCACTGTTTAAGATTGGATTCTGTTTCAAAACTCTCTTCAATTGATTTTATCACTTTAATTTGCCCTTCAAATAATGTTCTTTCCACTGTGTCTGTATAGTTTCAGCCCTCTCATTCTTCAGTAATTATCGGTAATCAGTGCTGTGAAAGGATTATGAACATCATTAGTGCTAGTAGTCTAATGGCGCCAAGAAATCAATCTTGGTTAGTTTTTCATCATATGATTAGAACATTGGCGCCATTTGCTATAGCAAAAAGTTAAACACTAGGGATATGATATGCTTTCACATCATTCTTTGTGGGTGAGCCATTACTCTGGTTCGTACTGGATAAATTCTGTCTTGTAAGATCGCGATGAGATAAACCAGCTTAGGTTGTCCATAGTTGACCGGCTCAAACCAAAGCTAATAGGCTGCTCATGTTAGAAGTCAAACTTGTACTCTCATGGTTACCAAGTGTGCATTTTAACCCTAACCGGCAAAGGGGCACAAAGAGATAAACCAGCATAAGTTTCATAGCTGATCGGCTCAAACCAAGAAGACTGCTACCCCGTTTGTATCATTAGCCAGCTTGACTGTGTTACCACTTTCACATCATTCTTGATTTGGAAGCCAATAGCAAGTAAAAGAGGTGAGAACAGGAGACTATTAACATGTTCAAATTCATAGCTAATCACCTTTATTTGCTAGATTTATCCCAACAGAAAGTACAAGTAAGAGCAATAAAGGCATATCTCTAGGTTGTGAATGTGACACAGTTATACTCTGAGAGCTTAAGCATTGACTAGCTTAGCTTACTGTAACACTTTCTTCCAAAAAAAAGGGTCCAAACTAAAGTACTTCTTTTAATGCAAAGGAAAAGCACCAGTATGCCCAATGGAGAAAAGCTACAAAAAAGGGTAGGATTTGCTTTCTAAAGAAGTGTGACTGGGCAACAATACCCACAATCTCAATTCAAAAACCATATATACTTGACTCTACTGCATTTATATACAAGTTGCACCACACACTGCTACTCTGTAGGGATATCTCTGTTTTACCCACTTAGATATAGACATATAGTCCAGTCCTGAGTGGTCTCTCTTATCATCAGTGTTTATACTCTCTTCTTCAAAAGCCTTAAACTTTTTGTCTTCTGTGCTTACCATTTAATGCTCCTGTTATGTACTGGCCATGTTTCAGGTTGGGCACTTTGTCAACTTCTGTTGGATACATTTGCAGCATTTAATGCTGTTTTAGTCCACTTTCAAAGTGTGGGGTCTCAGATCTACACCAACTTCCTTTTCAATTACTTCAACAAATGTGCATGGCTCTTCTCCTTCCAAACACATGGAAGTAAAAACATCTTAGCCAAGTAAAATTTTTGCATTGAAAACAGTAGTATCTGCAGAGGTGCTTACCATCTTGATTTGGTAGGATTCTGGTTTACCTTTCTGCTTAATTATGGTTTGTGATAGATATATTGTTCACTTGTCTCCTTCTTGGCACACTTAGCAGGAAATGGAGCAACTCAGAAGTTGTATTGAGCCTAGTAGAAGACAATTATTAACTCCTACTCAAGTTCATAATGCTGAGGATCTGATAAGAGAAATTGCTGTTTTGGAGCTTGAAGTTGTGTCTTTGGAGAAGTATCTCCTCTCGATGTATCGAAGAGCGTTTGATAAACGGTTGTCTGCCCTTTCCGTGAAGAATCACAAAGAAAAAGAGGAATTAAGTAGAAAAGAAATGATATTCTCATCAGAAAAGCGGGGTGTAACTAGCACTAGTCCAGCTTTGCAGCCACAAGGCATGGTTAATAGTCCACCCGAAGAACAGAAACTGCTCGATTCGAGTATTCTACGAACCCATTCGTCTCTATCTCATGCAGGCTGTTCATTCAGAACTTCTCCTCCAATTGGCGTCCTTGCTGAAGCTTTGGACTCTTACCATTCTTTGCCTTTATCAATGCTGGAGGTTAGTATTAGTTGTCTGTTCTAAAGTGGCATTTATGTTCAATTTCAACTCTAATTGCAATGCTACTTTGACAGCGGGCACAAGAATTGTCTTCGAACGTTGAGAATCTAGGTAGCGGTGTTTCTGATCGAGGCCACGAAGCGCCAAACTGGCTATCTGAAGAGATGATTAGAAGCATTTCAGCCATATATTGCAAGCTGGCTAACCCGCCATTGTTCAATGATGGTTACACTTCCTCTCCAATCTCATTCTCTTCACCAACAATAATTGAGTCTTTTGCTCAAGGTCACTATGATGTGCCCGAAGAGTCTAGAGAGCCTAGTGGCCATTTTATCGCCATGGCTGAGGTGCAAGGGCTCTGTCGCGATGACCAAAGCTTTAAAGGCGTCGAGCACGTGCTAAAATATTTTAGGTAAGCTTAACTCCTTGCTTAATTGCTCGATCTATGAGGTTTAGTTGGAAAGTGTTGAGCATATAATCATTAATGTGCAATCCAACTATTAACTTAGGCTTTTAGTTGAGATGGAGCTGATAAGATAACCATGTGCAATCTAACTATTAGCTTAGGCTTTTAGTTGAGATGGAGCACATGCTTCAATTAGTCACAGATATAACTATGATTCTCTGTTGCTGCAGATCTCTAGTCTCGCATTTGGAGCAGGTTGATCCTAGTAAAATGAGACACGACGAGAAGCTAGCCTTCTGGATTAACATCCACAATTCACTAGTAATGCATGTAAGCTGATAGTTCATGCTTCAAAGACTATATAGATTGTGATGTTTTTTTGGTTTTTGACAGTTGAACCACATCTTGCAGGCCTTCTTGATTTATGGGATTCCTAGAAGTAACCTCAAAAGGGTGTCTCTTCTCCTAAAGGTTGAAACTTGATAGGCTATTCAATATTTCAATCCACCCCAGTGCCTTGGTTCCTTTCCCTTCTTCTATTCACTATAACTTGGAAAATTTATACATTTTCCTGCAGGCTGCTTATAACATTGGAGGGAAAGCAGTAAGTGTTGATATGATTCAGAGTTCTATTCTAGGATGCCGAATGCCACGTCCAGGACAAGTAAATCACTCTATTCATTTTAGTTTTAACTTCTTGTGCTTGCAACTCTATTCAGTTTTTATCTTCCACAATTTGCACTTTGCACCATCACCAATGCCAGTTTTTACTGACGCTGTGCATCGGTAAACCCCATCTTGTAACTTTAGCCCGTAAAGAACTACAAGGAGATAAATAAACCTAAATTGCCTATAACTGAACGGTTGGTTCAAACCAAAAAGGTTAATAGGTCGCTTAGGTCAGGAGTTCAACATGTAACTTTGTGGTTATCAAGGCATAAACGTGATCAATTTTATTAGGTTACCCCTTAGTTTTGGAAAAAGGGTCAAACATGCCAATTACGCCTCCGAATTTTTAAAATTTACAATTAAACAAATCAACATGTCATTTTAATGCATCAAAACTAAAAAATCTATTAGTGACCTGTGATAACAGGTCATTAGGATTCCGATGATGCTATGCCTACCTCCAAGGAGGAAACCGGTGACCACCGAAAAATGTGACCAGCGGGATCGCCTTCTTTGCCTTCTTCACAAAGAAGGCGACCTCCTGGTCATCATTTATTCCCTCAGAGGTAGTCGGAGTATCGCTGAAATCCTAACGACCTGCTATCACCCGTCACTAGTGGGTGTGCTTACTTGTAACTTTTAAAAGTTGAATGGTCTAATTGACTTGTTATATAAAATTTCGGGGGTGTATTTGAACCTTTTCCAGTTTTTACATATCTTGATGGTGCTGATTATGACCAATTCTCCTTACAGTGGATTCAATCCTTGTTCTTCCCCAAGCAAAAGTTCAAGTCCGGAGATCCAAGAAGGGCATACTCAATGGAGCACCCAGAGCCTCGCCTTCGCTTTGCCCTTTGCTCAGGATGCCATTCTGATCCCGTGGTAACTTTCCATTTCAAATCGCCAATTTTTCTAGCAATGATCGGCTGATATTCATGTCTGATCATATGATATCCAATCCAGGCTCGCTTATACACACCCAAGAGAGTTTTCCAGGATCTCGAAGTGGCAAAAGAAGAGTACATTCAAACAAGCATCAGGGTACACAAGGAACAGAAAGTTGTGTTGCCAAAGAACGTGGAAGCTTTCATCAAGGAGGCAGGGCTGTGTTCATCTGGGGTGGTGGAGATGATAGAGCCCTCTTTGTCTGACACTTTGCGGAAGAACTTTCTGCAGATTGCTGCAGATAAGGGGAATAAAGTGTGGAAGAAGATTGAGTGGATTCCTCATAACTTCAGTTTTCGGTATCTGATTTCAAATGAATTAGCAGAGGGCTCCCTGTCTCTAATATTTCATGACCAATAAATCGTTTTTAGTTCGAGTTTTGCTTCGTTTTTGTGTATGAGTGTGAATAACTGGATATTACTGTTAGACTTTTTTGTTTGTTTGGTTGTTTGGATTACCTTTGAACTTTAAGAAATGACCCACTATTTATGTATAAATGGTTCTTTTGGTTTGCTATAATATAGACATTTGTATTTTAAAAGAAAAATGCTATACTTAATAAGTTTAGTAAATCAATCCTCTCTTCATTAGGTTGCAAAACACGTTAGGCGCCTAAGCGCCGAGGGGGTGTCTAGGGCGCCTAGCGCCGATTTTTTTTTATTTTTTTTAAACGTAAAAAAAAATTAAAAATTATCAAAATTCACTAATAAAACATAAGATTCTTATCATTGTTTCTTACAAATCATTTATTTAAGTGGCTATAAAATTGTTTAAAATATTGTTAAAACCATCAAATACATAAAAAACTAAAATTAAGAGCAAAAGAAACATTTTTTGAAAAATTGGCGGGACAAACCGTCTTTGACATTTGCGGTGGGTAGATCTAAAAAAAAAATACGTGATTTAAAAAAAAAAATTGTCCAAAACAAACAATCGAGTCAAAAGTGATGTCTTCCCAAAATTTTCAACCTAAACCCTTAAAAAAAAATCATCCATTCGACCGTCTAGCCGGTCGCAGAAGAGGCCGATTCCGACCTTCCTTATTGCGGTCGAGCGGCGTTTAGACGAGATTTTTGCAATAATTTTATTCACAAGGCCTTTCACAGTAAATTATTAAAAAAAAAAAAAAAAAAAAAAAAAAACTAGGATATTTTTCATTATATATTTACATTAGCCTTTAGGTGCATCAAGAAAGCGCCACATATACCCCTACTTCACACATCACTCTCCAAAAGGGGCATCTTTTTTAGCGCCTATTCTTAGCCCCTTCTCTTCTCTACCTCCAAACGCCGCCTACACAGATAACACACTTGAAAGCAAGCTCCGAAGTCCAGAGAGATGGATGAAGATAGAATAGAGCTGGTGTTGGCTAGAATATCAGAGTTGAGGTCCAAGATCACTAATTGCATTGCCACAGGTAGATTGGAAGGGAAAGAATTGGGGAAAGAAAGCTCCGATGTAGACCAGGAGGCAGAGCTCGATTCCGATGAAGCAACGGATTGCCTTTTGAACATCCGAGAAGCTCTTGAAAAACTCGAACTCCAAGTCTCGTCTTTGCAGGTCTTTTCCTGGTTTTCTTATAGTTTTTATTTCTGCTATTTTTGCTCAATTAAAATTTCGAGCATTTTGTTTTTGGATTTCTGCTGGTCTTAGGTTTACCTGCTAGTGTATTTTTTTTTTTCTTCATAATTTGCTTATTTAATTTGGTGCTGATTTCTTAAATTTTTTGGTATTTTACGAAATTCTATGGACCTAGGGTTTTGTTGAAATGAGTGGTTTAAGTTCTAATCTGTTGCAATTACAATTAGTTAATCATAGTGAGTCAGTGTCGCCATCCAAATCACCGGTTAGCAATTCCAGAAATGTCTTTCTTCCGTATTTTGGGGGTTCTAGTTGGTTCTTTTATAAGCTGCTGAAGGTTTGCTTTCATGGCGGCTTTCTTGTACTGTGGAAAGTAGTGTTCCAGCTTGTTAATTTTGATCTGATAATCTTAACTGTTAATAGAGAAATGGTGTAGTGAGCACATGAAAACCTCAGGTTAGTTTCACTCGCAGATTAAAAGGAGGGTGAGCATGTGAATTTGCACGTTTTGAGACAATGGGCCTCTGGCTTTTGTTGAAACTGAACTGGAAGGTTTATATTGTTCATATTGAGATGCATTTTCATGACTCTATGTCATGCATTCTCAAATATCTTGAGTTTAAGAATAATTTTGACCTACCTGTACCTGAAAGTGTAAGAGAGTTTAGTGGCAAGTTGTTCTAGCTGATATATGGTTATTCCTCTGTCTGGTATGAAGATTTTGGTCACTGTTGCAATCCTTATTTCATGCAGGCATTGCAACATCAACAGTTATATGAGAAAGAAGAAGCCTTGGCTGGGATAGTCTACTCCCAGGAGAAGTTGCTGCATAAGCTCAAGGAGTACAAAGGCGAGAACTTGGATGTTATACGCGAGGCAATTGCATTTGTTGGTGAAACAGTGGAAGAAAACAACGATCTCCTGCTCCCACCATACCCAAGCCGGCCATCTTTCTCCCTAGTATCCACCAAGCCCCACATTTCACATTTCCAGTCCTCACACCTACCTTCTCAAAACGGGGTGATAAATGGCAGCCAAAGAAACGGATTGACAAAAGATCTCATCAGACCAAACCAAACAGAGGCTAAAACTCCGTTGAAAATGGTGAAACGTTTCATTGGTGGAGCTGCCAAGACGGTATTGACTGTTTTGGGGGTAATATCGGTTTTGACACTTGCTGGTTTTGAGCCTAGTCTTAAGAAAAGGGATAACCACATCAAGTTTATCAACCTATTTCAACTGCCTGGGGTTGATGAGAAGGAAAGAAAGATTGAATGTCCTCCTGGAAAGGTACCAGTGGTTGAAAATGGCGAAATTCGATGCGTCGTAAGGGAAAGAGTTGAAGTTCCATTTGAGTCTGTTGTTGCAACACCAGATGTAAGTTATGGGTGTGGGTGAAATCCAACTTGTTTTCCATACTTAGAGTTTGAGAGCAGAGATTATCATTTTGAAGGCATGCCTGTGCTAATGATGATGTTATCCAACCTTCCTTTGCTGTTATCATTTGTGAATATCATCTACTTGTTGAGCTAGTATCACAATTTTTAAAATTTTCCTATTTTATTTTATTTTATTTTTAAAATTTTCAATGGACTGGCCCACCAAAGCCCATAGTAGAGCGGGACAATATAGTACTCCGTAGTTAATAATAGTTATACTTTGAATAATGGTTCACGTTGCAAGGTAGAGATTATGACAAAAAATTACTTTTAAATGCTATAAGTTTATTTTTAATGTATTATAAATTGATTTTAGTAAGGTTCATTATATTATGATATAGGTTCATTTTTAATGTATTATTTAAAAATAATCATGTGAATACATTCAAAAGGAACATGCACTATAATAAAATTAAACTTGTATTAATGGTTCGGCAATATGAATCATAGTTCATGATATAATTTATTGGAGGAGTGGAATGTTGATTTTTGACTTGTCTCGATCTACTAAATGATGAGTTTTAGTGCGCTCTGTAGTTTGGCATGTTAGTCAATTTTGACTGTTAGAGCATTCTTATTAAAATTTTTGAGAGATTTTTAGGCTTACAATCTTATGTGGAAGAGAGAGAAGATCTGAAGGTGTGTTGCAAGAGAGATTGATCTTTTGTCTCAATAGTGGGCCTCACCTAAAAAGATAAAGAAGTCGTCTGGTGTGTCTCACGTGCACCAGAAGCGTGCATTCCACGCCCCAATGGGGCCCGTTAACCAAGCATATATTTTTCTTTTGAAAACTCATTTTACCTTTTTTTTTTTTTTTTTTCTTCCCTCCATCTCTCATACCTGACGTCTAAAAATTTGTGCAAAATGATATTATTGCTACCTATACAGTTCACATTCTCAATTTGTGTAGCCCATAATGAAATATCTGCGGCCCAATATCGAAAAGAAAAGTGAACAATTGGATTGATAAAACGGCGCCGTTTACCGGGGATTTGAAAGTATCTTTACAACAATCAAGAATAATTTGACTGCGTACAAATATACAATGATCCATATGGATTTTGCATTTTGGGCACCCAAAGACATCTAATAGGAGCCATTTCTTGTTACCAGGCAAAATCTCGACATACAATTGTCTGTGTGTGTGTTGTTTTTTTTCCTAGTTTCTCCCGACTTCTGCAAAGTTTGTGCGCAAGAAGAATACATTTTGGGTGTAAATTAGTGAGGTGTACAAAATCAACTAACAATCATCACAAGGAAGGAAGTAGCCAAAGATTGGAAAGTGATGAAGTCATGGAAAGAAACCATGTAAGGAAGGCCATTGCTGCAGATATTTGATATCTATTGCATAGCTTTGAAGGACACAATGCTTCATCCGTTTTCAAGAGAAGATCCACAACACCCGCAGTGGAGCTAGCTGCCGCCAGGGTGAGGAACGATAACGCCTGTCAGTTTAAACTCATAATGAAACTATACATTTATATTAGGTGTTTGGTAAATACGGACTAACTGTTAACCGATTGGATTAGTAAATTTTACTGGTAGATAACATTAGCTAATTATTATAGAAAAATATTTGATAAATTAACTGTTAGTTGATAGCCATTAATAATCCATTATATGTAAAAATAACTTTCTCAAAAAGTTGTTCAAAACAACTTTTTAAATTTAACATTTTAGAGCAATAAGCTGTTCAAAAAACTAATTAACCAAACACTCATATTAATTGTTTAGTCAAGTCAAACAAATAATCAAATAAACCAAAATTGATTGATAAACTAACTATGTTACCTAACAGAGCCTATATACTCAATAATAAATACTCAATAATAAAATTCCACATTTATATTATATAACTGATACTCAAGTAAGTGAAGAGCAGGACATACCCAATCTCCCAGGATGATGACCAGCAGAATTCCCAGCTGACGAATGGGGCACTTGATGAGCAGAGAGTATCCATCAACCAGTGCCAAAGTGACACTCCAGGGAATGACCAAACCCATGATTGTTACCAAGAAGCTGCAAGTACAGTACAGTACAGAAACCAGAGATGTATGGAGCGAATTAAAAATATGTAAAGGCTAGGGTAACATGAAGATGATGATGGTTCTGATTACCAGAAGGCAGTGTAACTATAGAATTCAACTCCTAAAGACATGAAAAGAAGAGAGGCGGTTGAGAAGGCGGCCTGCCCCAATCTCAAAGCAAAGCTCGCTCCTGTCCCCACAGCGCCCGGTACGTCTTCATTCATCGCCATACCCTACCAGAACCTACGTACGCGATATAAATATAAATTCGCTGCAGAATTTTAACTGATCGACGGTGAAGACGAGAGTGATATGATGGCGGCAACAGCAATCGCATTCCCTGTCGAACAAGCTTATCATCATCATCATCGCACTACTCAATATACACAATTCTCAATCGTTGCTTGCCGGAAATTGAAATTTCGGATATGAACATATACGTACACGTCGTCCGCATCGGCCTGTGACTCCAACTTTCACAAGCTCCACCACGCCTTCATGATCTCAACAATTTCACCATGGAATTGAAGCTGGTTGGATATCGGTCCCTTTCCTCTCGTGCCTTGCTGTTGGTATTTCCTTTCAAAAACCGAACCACCTGCAATTTCAAGTCAGTACGCCAGACGGCCCAACGAATGGTGGACAGACAGGTGGAGTCACGAACCACCATTCTTTTGAGAGATGGCTATGAATTTTTGAGGCGATTGTATAATGCCTAGTTAGGGGAAAGTAGGTTAGTTGTATAGAATATGTGACGATTGACTGGAGAGCATTGGCCCAGAATAAAAGTTGATCCAACTTGCAGACTAGGAGAATCTGTTACAAGTTTTTTTAATATACCGAAAACACACAATAGCTATTGAAATGTATACCGAGTGAATCTAGCCTTATAACCTTAGGCCGTTCAAGTTTGCACGAACAATTCGGTTAGCTCCTAAGTAATAAATTGTGAATGAGGATATATAATTAAGTCCTGGTGGCTGCAATATGAGAATTACACTCAATGTAGTAGACACCAAACATTAGTTCTATCACTTAATGAATTATTGAGTTACTATGATTTATCTCTCAACTATCATGTTGGGTCAAAGTGTGTGGCTCTAAGAGAAGAGAATATCTCTTTTGTATGCAAGTTTAGACGGCTCAAATTGTTACTCCTCCACTACTATGTCATTGTGATTTATCTCTCAACTATCATGTCAGGTCAAAGTGTAACCCTGAGGGGAGAGAATATTTCTTTTGTGTGCAAGCTTAGACAGCTCAAATTGTTACTCCTCCACTACTATGTCGGGTTGAGATGTATGTCTTAGATTTTTTTTTTTTTTTTTGGGGGCCAAATTTAGATGATTCAAATTAAGAATTAAACTAAGAAATTTATAATTATCAAACTGACTATGTGAACAATTTGACTAGGCTGTACTCCATCTTTTCTCCCTTTGTTGACCTTAAATTTCAGAGTTTTAGGGATATAGCCATACGTGCATGGTCTATTGATCTGACAAGCACCTTGTGGGTAGGTGTAGGTGACACCAATGCCGCTAGAACTAGGCTAGTTGGTAGAAAATAATAGCCGCTACAATTTTAATGATGTAACGTATTCATGCTATTATTATTGTGTGGATCATGATTTATACAGCAAATTATATTATTAAAATATACTTTAAATATATTAAAAATTTACATTATATTTAAAATAAAATATATTATTTAAATACTGAAAATATATTATTTTGTATAATGTACATTCAGTATACAAATAATGTATTTTTAGTATATTAAAAATATACTTTTTGTTATGGTGCACACAATAACAATTGTTATGTCATAGATCGGGTCCACCTTGCAAGGTGGACCCAGGTCTAAAACAACGTCTGAAATAACGGTGTCGTTAGTGGCACCATTTTCTCAGCCAATGATATTTTTTTTTTGTCAATATAGAGTTTAAAAATTGTGAATATAGAGTTATGTAATTGTAGATATTGAGTTATGTAATTTTGCATATTGAGATCTAAAATTGTGAATATTCAGTGCTAAAATTGTGAATATATAGTTCTATAATTTTGTATATTGAGATATAAAATAGTGAATATAAAGTTCAAAAATTATGAGTATAAAGGAACGGATTCTAAAGACAAACGGCAAGAAAGTAAACAATATTTTTTTTTATAAAATTCAATCGGACAAAACGATGCGATTTTGGACCCGGGTGTAATTTGCCACACCATAATTTACCGTTCAAATGGAGTTGGATTCATTTATGGCTAAAGCCCAAGTCCTTTTTAATGGTGGTACTCGGCCCCTTTCATTTATGGCTAAAGCCTAAGCCCAAGGCCTCTCTGTGGTGCGAGTTGCGAGGCTGGATGACATCCCATCCAACAGTAATTTGAATTTCCTTATAGTATGGGCGCAGTGAGCGGAGGAAAATAAGAATGGCGCAAGGAACGGAGATGTGGGGAAGAAGCAAAAATCAGTACCCACATTCTACTCCCATCCATCCATTCCCACCAATAATAACACCATTAAAATCTGGGTTAGAGCAGCCCAGACCGGCACTCAAAGACAGCCCCTGCTGTTCTGAGTTGTAATAATACCAATAAACAAACCACAAGATGGCCGCTAGTCCCCAAAGCGGCTCCGCCTCCCCTTTCGCCTTGTCCCCGTGGAACCAAGTCTCGGGTGCCTCGCCATGGACCCAACAACCCGCCGAAGATTCCGCCATGTCCAACGACCAGGGCGGCTGGGACACCTCCCTCATCGGCTCCCTCGTCCGTGAAGAAGGTCACATTTATTCCCTCGCCGCTTCCGGCGATCTCCTCTACACGGGTTCCGATAGTAAGAACATCCGTGTGTGGAAGGACATGAAGGAGTATTCCGGGTTCAAGTCGAATAGCGGGTTGGTTAAATCCATTGTGTTGGGTGACAAGATTTTCACCGGCCATCAAGACGGTAAAATCCGGATCTGGAAATTTGCAGATCAAAAAAAAAAAACCTACAAGCGTCTAGGTAGCTTGCCTACAACTAGAGATTATCTGAAAAGTTCTATGAATCCTAAAACTTACGTGGAGGTGAAGAAGAACAGGAACGCTCCGTGGATCAAGCATCACGACGCCGTTTCGTGTATGAGCTTGGAAGATGAAGAGGGCTTGCTGTATTCCGGATCCTGGGATAAGACAGTGAAGGTGTGGAAATTATCGGAGAATAAATGCATCGAGTCCGTTAACGCCCACGATGACGCCGTTAACGCCTTGGTAGTCGGCTTCGACGGCCTGGTATTCACCGGATCCGCCGACGGGACGGTGAAGGCGTGGAGGAGGGAGATGAACGGGAAGACGATGAAGCACGTGCTGGTGGACACGGTGCTGAAGCAGGACAACGCGGTGACGTCGCTGGCGGTGAACGTGTCGGCGGCGATGGTGTACGCGGGATCCTCCGACGGGCTGGTTAATTTCTGGGAGAGAGAGAAGAGTTTCATGACGTACGGCGGCGTGCTGAGGGGCCACAAGCTGGCCGTGCTGTGCCTGGCGGCGGTGGCCAATCTGGTGCTCAGCGGCTCCGCGGACAACAGCATCTGCGTGTGGAGGAGAGAGGAGGGCGCCGTCCACGTCTGTATGTCGGTGCTGAACGGCCACAGTGGGCCGGTGAAGTGCTTGGCCATTGAAGTGGACAACGGCGAAGGCGGTGAAGGCGAGGGCGAGGAAAGTGCGTCGGTAAACAATGGTGAAATGGAACGATGGAGAGTGTATAGTGGGAGTTTGGATAAGTCGGTTAAAGTTTGGAGAATAGTGCAGCCCAAGACGTCGCAGTAATTAAAATGCATCAACAAGCTAAAGCCTCCTCCTATCCTATTGGGATCGGTCAGTAGATTGCAGCAGCCAGCCAGCTAGATCGGAGACCAATCTCCGACTCAATTTTTCCGATTCGGACCTTCATTTTTTATGTCTTCAAAAGACATTGTTGTCCACCCAACCCAAAAATATTAAATTAAGTTGTTCATAACATATTAATATTAATTACCTTTTAAAGTATTAATAAAATTTTGTTTATAAAACACCAAAGCAATATTACTAATAGTAGTAGTAAAGGGAGTATCTAATTATCAATAGCTTTCTTAACTAGAATTCAAGATAACACTCTTCTAATGGACTACTAATTACTCCTTACGCGGATTAATTCATTAATGGGAAGTTTGGTTTACGGAATAGGTCTGAAATGGCGGATACTCCCCTTAATTCATTTTAGTTCATTGATTCTGGAATTGTAGTGCATCGATTCTGGAATTTTAGTTCATCGATTCTGGAATTTTAGTTCATTCATTCTGGAATTTTTAGTTCATAGATTAGATTCTGGAATTTTAGTTCATAGATGTTGGAATTATAGTTCATCGATTCTAGAATTATAGTTCATATGTTGTTGCTGGGAATCGAACCTGAATTTTTTATTTTTTTTTAATAAAACGACGTTTTTGCATCCGTATGCACCATGCATAGTGCATACGGATGCACAACATAATTTGCCCTGAAATGGCATAGCATTCTCACTAATAGACCTATTTCTTAACTCAACCCAACAATATAATGTAATCGGCCTATTCCTTAAATCAACCAAAAGTTTATTTCTTTTGCGAACCAAACAATAGATACTATTCATATTCTATTCCTTGCATATTTATTTCTTATGGAATAACATTTCTATTATTCCTTATGGATTATTTCTTAGCATTCCTATTACCTCAAAATTCATTCCGTGAACCAACCGCTGCAAGTAATTTATGGGCACTTATGCAAATTTTCCTTTGTTTTCTAGTGTTATAGTTTAACTTGTCGAATACGGAGTATAATTTGTAGGCAGTGTTTTTATTTTTATCTTTAATTCTTTATCATATCCTTTCCTTTGGCTTTTCTCGACTCATATATTATACGATATAATATTTTATGAAAAAAAAAAAGGGGAAGTATATTGTATCCCTCTTATATTGCAGAATAGAAATGTTTATTGTATCACTGCAATTAAACTAAAATACTAAAAAATAGAAATAACAATATTAATTACATTTGGCAAACAAGAAATTTACACATCAATGTGTACCGACCTGTGTCCACCGTCAATTATTTACGCAATGCAATGGACAAGTAGGCGCCACTTACAGGGAAAACACAATGTCTTAATTGCCACGAGCCGCTGCACATTAGTTTGTAAGCATCAAAGAGTTTGAGTTCAGAGACATATAGGCAACACTGCAACAGCAACTGCATAGAGGGGCAAAACCCATTAATCATTACAGGGCTGATATAACAAATACTATACGTTCTGCGCAACTGTCACGGTAACAATACTTAAAGCCGATACACTAATTAAAAAATTCAGTAAATTGATAATCATGCCAATTTTTCATATTAATCCTGTTTAGTAACATAGTTAGCTTATCAACCAATTTTAGCTTATTTGTTCACTTTTAGCTATTTGACTTGGTTAAACACCCAATATAAGTGTATAACTAATTAACTTTTTGTAATAGCTTATTGCTCCAAAATGTCAATAATGCTAAAATCAGCTATCAGCTAACAACCAATTTACCAAACATCTTTCTACAATCAGCTAATGCTATCGACTAGTCAAACCCACTAACCCAATCAGTTATTTACCAAACATCCTCAACCACTTCTTACCGGTGTTGATGCAGAATATGCTAATCCATGTAGCTGCCTTCATATATAGTGCGTGCTTGTGTGACAGTGGAGTACACTCCACCTGATTGGTTTG